TTTTATTAAACAGTTGTCTTTCCACAGTAGTAAAGCTTTGGCATGTACAGTATAAAAAATAATCACCAACCATTATTAAACCAAATTCCTCTTATCAACTGCATACTAAGTGTCTTCAATGCAATTTTTTTCCATATAAAAATACTGGGGAAAAATTGATAAATAACAGGTAAGAGAAAAATATTTCTAGGTAATTACTAGAATCATTTGGAAAAAGTGAGCACTGTGGATATTTTAAATGTCACAGTAACAGGGACATGCCGTTCCTACAATATCGCGGGCCAGACGGTTAAGTGGAAGCAGAAGTGTTTGGGTAACTTTCCCACTTAAAGTTTTGGTAATATCATTTCAGTACATTCTGCATCTGGGTTGGTGCATGCGCTTCCCTGCAGATCCCAAACCAAGTCACAAGTTAGAATCATCTCATTAAAAATACTGAGCGGTGTTGAACACTTTGGAGCAGTACAAGCAAGGAACTGCCCCCTTTTACTAGAAAAGTTTCAAAACACTCCCAGGGTGATGCTTGGAGAAGCTGTGGGCTGAGCTGAAGCTGGAGAAGTTACTCTCCAGAGCAAAGGGCTTAAGAAAGAAACGAACACTCTAGGATGGGGTCTGCTAATGTCGCTCCAGTTGGGATGGGCCGTGGCAGAGATCCACACGTGGTTTTCTGGGCTGGAAATATTACTCCCGGGAATCTTCTCTGTCAGCCTGTACATCTAAAGGCATGAAGCACTCAATTGGGCAGTTGACATTCTGTTAAAATGGAAGACAAAGAAAAATTAGCAGCAAATACTGCAAAGTGTACAGAAAAAAGAGGGGGGTCGTCTACGGCAATTACTTCCAGATAGAATATTTCTAGCTTTAAGAACCTAGCAATAGCCTGACTGATGTGGCACAGTGGTTTAGTGTCAACCTATGAACCAGGAGGTCATGTACGATTCCCCGTCAGGGCACATGCTCGGGTTGTGATCTTGATCCCCAGTGGGGTATGTGCAGAATGAAGCTAATCAATGATTCTCTCTCAACACTGATATTTCTATCTCTCTCCCTCTCCCTTCCTCTCTGAAATCATTAAAAATCTATTTTAAAAAAGAGAACCTACCAACAAATTCACTAAACTGAGTAAAAGGTAATGTTCAAGAGGTTATCCATTAGAACCAAAATTATGTTATAGGATACAGTACTCAAGTTATTTAAAGGTTATTTTTTAAAAAATATATTTTATTGATTTTTTACAGAGAGGAAGGGATAGGGATAGAGAGTTAGAAACATCGATGACAGAGAAACATCAATCAGCTGCCTCCTGCATGCCTCCTACTGGGGATGTGCCCGCAACCCAGGTACATGCCCTTGACCGGAATCGAACCTGGAATCCTTCAGTCCCCAGGCCGACGTTCTATCCACTGAGCCAAACTGGTCAGGGCTATTTTGTTTTGTCTTTAAAATAGGTTCATTCAAAAGAAAAGTACCCACGGAAAGAGAATCCCTACTATGTGACCAATTGCTCTTAGGGGAGAAATGCTTGTGCAAATGTACTCACAGTGTTTGAGTTCTGATGGTATCTCGGAGGATACTGGTTGTAGGAGTGACCAGTAGTGCCTTCGTGACCGGGTTCAGCGCCGGGTCTACGGCAGTTGTCACAGCGCCAGCCCTGAGAGATGGGTTACGAGAAGAGCAGCCATCACATCACAGGTTTAGTGCGTGGGTTACAAAAGAATGTCAGCTCTTCATTGGCAAAATATAAGCAGTTTAATCACAAAGGACACTTTGATGATGATTTCATGAATTTATAACCTTTGTAGAATATACTTAGGCTGATTCCTCAAGAGAAAAGGTGAAGAAAGGGGCACTGTCTTAGATCTGGGGTGTTATTCAACATACTTAGCAACAATGCCAAACGGGCACCTGTTCTTTAGGTTGGAGCTGGAGGCCGCGTGCTACCCAACCTTAATAGGTCAGGTGCCAAAGAAGAGAGAACAGCCTGAGAACACTGGGTGTGGGAGGGGCTGAGGCTGCCACAAAAGGGGAGGACTGGAAAGGGTATCACTCAGGCAGCTATGTGCCAACAGGAAATGAGGTGCTTCAACATTTCATAGGGGGTACTGCCACACTCGTACGTATAGCGTGCACACAAGAAGCTCAATCCTGAATCATCTTCTCCAGATCTTATCTAAGTTGCAGAGAGCCTTACCCGCTGGCCCCCAAAGCATGTGCAGGAGCAAATAGCACCGAGATATTCCTTCTGCCACTGTTCTCCGACGTGGTACGTCTTCCCATCATCATAGCACGTTGTCTCATCTACATGAAGACACAAGTCAGAAGTGCGTGTAAGACTGAGAGCAATCAGACAGACGGGGCCCCGGTGTGGGGGTGGCTCTGTTCCCACCTAAATTTGCATCATCACAACCAAAATACCACATTTATGGGAATTATTCGTAATAGAGAAACTGCTGTACGGACCATAGGGCAGCATTTCCAAAAACTTGATCTAATAAACTGAGAAGATGGAGACTGTATTTTAAAAGTTGAGTCTAAAGACCCGTAAAGCTTTCTGCTAACTTTTCACTGCAGTTTATGGTCAAAATGCTCAGGATGGAAAAGTGCTAAAGTGCCTGTAATAACATTAAATCATGGCTCATTTTTGAAGCTTGTCTCTGCCTTCCCAAATCACAAGATTAATAAACCCACTGTCCATTCCTCAGGGAGACTGCACAACTCCACTTGTGCCCATGAATGAGAGCAGCAGCTCAGTAATGAGTGTGGGAGTGCTTGACAAGACCCTAAAAATGATCTGTGGCAACGTACGAGGATCACACTTGAATTCTCCTTTTCCGTTTCCAAGACACGTGCAGCTCATCATCTGGCCGTTTTCTCCCTGCCGATCCCACTTCTCTCCAATCTTGTAGTTTACACCATTGTCGTGGCACCACTCTGTGGGGCGGGGGTCAGGCAAAGAGTTAGTGGTGGGTTCTGACTCACAAGACAGTGACTGCACTGGGACAAGTCACACACGCATCTGGAAGGAATGGTAAGGAAGGTTAACGGTCATCATGCCTAAGACAAACCATTTTTTTTGGGGGGGGGGGGAGGGACTAGATTTTAAAATATTATCTTTACCATTTAACATTTTCTAGGCTCTTTTAAGATTCAATGTATTCCACCATCATCACATCACAAGAACAGTCAGTGACCTTCATTTGAATTCTCATTATTAAGGTAAAACTAAAGTAGGATTTGAGTATTTTAGGAGTAGAAAATCACTTTGGATTTGCAGAGATCCTGGATACAAAGTAGCTCCATTAACCAAAAAACCCCCACAAAGATCAGCGGGTTTCTATATGCCACAATGTGTGTCTTGTACATGAGAAGAGAAAAAGAATAAATCTGTGTATCAAAAAAAAAAAAAAAGCAAAATGATAAACATTGGTTACTATCCCTAATAATAAGACTGGTTTTAAGGAGAGCTAACAGTTATATATCTTTACTACTACACGTAAAAGTTAACTTTTTCATCCCCACAGTTCATACTGAAACAAAACACATTTCAGAAGTTTGTAAAACAGTATATTACTTCCATTCTATCAATGTCATTCCTTACACTTTAAGTTAATCAACAGTTAAGACATCTAAGCAAAGAATATGTCATTTGAGGCAAAAAAATATGTCATTTGAGCCACATAAATTATAGCTCTGCTCCCAAAATTGTACCTAACGTTTATATAGGCAATAAATAGATAATCTTAAAAATAGTTCAGTTGCATAAATGAAAAACCGCCTAATTGATGCCAAATGTTAAAAATGCCAACTCTGCCCTGGCTGGTTTGGCTCAATGGATAGAGCATCAGCCTGGACTGAAGGGTCCCAGGTTTGGTTCCGGCCAAGGGCACATGCCTGGGTTGCGGGCTCGGTTCCCAGTGGGGGGCGTGCGGGAGGCAGCCAATCAATGATTCCCTCTCATCATTGATGTTTCTATCTCTCTCTTCCTCTCTAAAAATCAATAAAATATACTTTAAAAACTATGCCAACTCTAAACATGATGACACCTCTGTTGCTCTTTCCATTTCAGATTGTCAAGCATAGTTGTCTGCAGTAAAAAAATTAGTCGTTTTATGCTTCAGCCTGAATTAAACCATTTCATGTACACAAATTAAGTAAAATACTTTGGGGAAAAAATCTATTATGTTTTATTTCTCCAAATATGATTTCTGGATATATGTCTATACAAGGTTTGTTTATAAGACATAATGATGAACACCAACAAAAATGAACCAATTATCAATAATACATCCCCTAAAAACAAAGCATAAATAAAAGGTTAATAAATTCTACTACTCAGTCTCAAAATATAATAATTCCTCAGATCATTTTAACTAAAACATAATTCATATATTACCATCTCTTTATAAGTTGAAAATTAAATAAATTTTAATTGAAGATTCTTAATTATCTACACATTATCTGTACTCCCTGCATTACTTAGAAAGATTCAAACTACTTGGTATGCATCTGTGTTTGTGTGATATGAGAGAGTGTGTGTGTATATACACTCTGATATGCGTTTGTTTGGTTTGTCTTGAGATAGTGTTGCCCTAGTCAGTGGTAGGCAAACTGTGGCTCGCAAGCCACATGCGGCTCTTTGGCCCCTTGAGTGTGGCTCTTCCACAAAATACCACATGCGGGTGCGCATGTACAGTGCGATGAAACTACAATGTTACTTATTAATTATCTCATTAAAGCTGGAGAAAAATAAAAAATGTGAAAGTTAAATAAAATATTTCCTCTGACTCCAAGAGAATAAACTATAAACAGAACAAAAAGACAGACCAGCTGGTGTGGCTCAGTGGTTGAGAGTCGACTAAGAACCAGGAGGTCAGGGCACATGCCCGGGTTGCAGGCTCCATCGCCAGTGCGGGGTGTGGAGGAGTCAGCCAATCAATGATCCTCTCTCATCATTGATGTTTCCATCTCTCCCTCTCTGAAATAAATAAAAATATTTTTTAAAAAAAGAAAGAGTATTTGTGAACATAAATATTTACCTCTGAGCTCACTCAACACTAAAGGTTATAAGAACCTTGAGGTTGTCCTAACCGGTTTGGCTCAGTGGATAGAGTGTCAGCCTGCAGACTGAAAGTTCCCAGGTTCGATTCCGATCAGGGGCATGTACCTTGGCTGTATATATAGATATATAACCTTGGGGTTTCTTTTATCTCTCATTTGACCTGGCTCCAAAGAATTTGACTTAGCTCATGTATCTTAACAGAAGAGTTTAATCATACTACCACCACAAATTTTATTTTAATTGTTGTATTGGCATACTACCCTTGAAATAAGCAATATTCCACAAGTAAAATTTCCCATCATTTTTCTATGATGCAAAATGTTACTTCGAGTCAAACAGTCTCCCCCTGTTTGCTTCATGTTTGGAAGAGCCTGGGTCTGCCAAACATGATTCCCTGGCACACTGTGCGGATGCGTGGGGCTGGAAGAGACAGGGCGACAAGTGGATGGACAAGCAAGCTACTCACTAGACGAGTCACATCTGAAATGACCACTGCCAAAGCCTAAGCACTGGCAGGAGAGTTTAAAGCCAGATTCAGAAAACCGCTCCCACTCCTCTCCAACGGCATAATGGGAAACCGTGTAGGGGTCGAAGCACGAGTCATCCGTAGGTGGGTCAACTACATGAAGAAAAGGAGGAAAAGCAATAAAAAAGACATCTTATTGGCAGTTTTGGAGGATAAGAAGAAAACTGATTATTCCATATAATGATTGAATCTGAAACAAAAGCCCCAGTAGCACTAAGAAGCATTCACCTGTCTATCAGGGCAACAGCTGCTCTAATAAACAACACTCAAATGTTGCCAGTGGACACTTGAAAAGGCATCTTAAAGTAAGTCCATCTTTCATTTTTGTCATCAGTTCTAAAAATTCATTTCTGGTAAATCTAGCCTATAGAACGTGGAACAGGTCTGGACTCAGTTTAAGTGAGTTAAGTTGCAAAGACTGGAAACACCTCTCCATCAGTACCTGATGCCCTTAAGTTGGTTATTATATTATAGTCATCTGTAATATGGGGATAATACTCAAAACATATCTACCTGCTCTGGGTCTTGTGACGGTCACGTGAGATCATGAAGTCAAAGTACTGGTCCATTACCAACACTTAGGACGTGCTCACCAAATAAAGAACAATCTCTAGAGAGCATCTTTTGTTTTTACTGCAATACTCCATTATAATGGGACCTTCACCTTTATTTTTGCAAGTTTTGGAAAATAGTGCTAAACTTTGACATTTTGCACATTATTGCAATTGACTGTAGGACTGCTTTACTTTATCAATAAACTCAATTGTTCCAGATAAGAGGAAGCAATGGGATGTCAATGACTTAGAAATCGGTAATGGGGTGTCTTCACGTTGCCTAAGATCTAGATCTTTGTGTTTGGGGAAACCTTACTGTAAAGTAATTTATGCAAACAAAGCTTGTTTCAAATTATTTTAAAAATTAGATGTTAACTTCTGTGTCTTTGCATCTCACTGTGTATGCCATCTCACTGTTTACAATGCAAAAATCAAAAGCCATAGATATTTGAAGTGCCTAACAGTTTAAAAGGCAACACCTTGGAAAAAAATAGTTTGGGGAGGCTAAGAAGTCTGTTTCAAAGCCAGGAGAACCTGGCTAGAATGCAGAATACCACTGCTGGGAATACAGAGGCGGAAAGAAAAATAGAAGGAACTTATCACTATGAGGGGTTTCACTCAGCCTCCTAAAAATAGCCAGGCGTTAAAATTCCCCCTGACTAAAGTTAGGGAGATGGAATCTTTAAAAAAAAAAAATGTGGAAAAGCACAAAGCTCTTTCACGTGGCGTTCTACTGGTGAAACCACACGAGGCAAAGGGTATGTGTTACCATGGATATATACTACAACTAGCACAAAATAACACCCCGCCCCCCCCTCCTCTGCCAGATATGCAACTGCTTCATTCACATGCGTTCATACATGTAACTAGCACCGTCAGATGAGGAAGGAGGCTGAAACTAGGTCAACTGACCCTAGAAATAAAGCCAGTCCTGAGCAGGGGAAGGATTTAGTCTCCCTGCTGGTAGGGCACCCTCTGGCTGGAAGATTTAGGACTCAGGGTTTTGATTACTCCCTATCTTATGTTTCCTGGAAAATCTTCAGCTGCTGCAGGTTGAAGAGCCAAGGGACAGACACCCTACTGGTTTAAAAGGACTTCCTGGGTGCTGCAGAGAGTCAAGGACCACTTAACCTCGACAGAGGTTTTGGATCTATGTCATCAGAAAAAAAAAAAGGAGATAACATTGGAATAAGGGAGCCGTTGGGACAAAAATGGGCTGTGCTGGTAGCATTTTACATGAGGAACAAACACCAGCTGCCCCTAAAGTCCACGGATGGAGAATTTCCTTTCATGGGTTTCGGTAGGTACTTAAAAATCACTACAGAGGATTCCAACATGGTGACATGGAGATGGTCTGGGCAGAGAGGTCAGGGGACCTGTGCCCTGTATCAACTCAGAAAGGCACTAGCTGGCAAGGACTCAAGAGTGTCGGATGAAGGATCTGCGCTTGTGCCAGGTCTATCATTATGTCCCCGTTTGTGACTCTGTCCAATACATATGCATTTTACAAAGATACTAGGAAAATACAGTGAAACCTAGTTTCTCGAATGTCTCCTATACAGAACAATTCACTTTTCAACCTGACCACCCTTTCATACTGATGCCTGTATGATCAGTCACGCATCTCCCAAGGGACAAAGGAGAGAATGTGCGAATTTGAGTCAGTTTACCACTGTTAAAATCTCAGGATATTATGCTATGAATATTCTCGTGCTTTTTTTGCTTATAATTATTGATTAATTTTCATTTTCCTACTGTATATTTCTTTTCCTTTTTGTTAAATTTTCATTTACATTTCATGTCCTTTTGGTTTTTAAAGTGTTTATTTATAAACAGTACATTAGACATGTACTATATCTAAGAAGGGTTAAAACAGGGAATCATTTGGTGGTCTGGAACGCATTCATTCAATTTATATTATTTCCAATGGGGGAAACGAATTCAGTTCGAGAAACGAGGTTCCACTGTAATTCAATTTAAAGTTGCTCATTTACTTCATGATGTAACATTATTTCCCAAAGCTCAAGGAAAACAGCAACAACGGAACAGCCAGTGGAGAAAGCATCCCCCAGAGGGAAGTCTGGCCTGAGCAGCACAGGCATTCACATACCCGAGTTGCCCACAGTGACAACCTCCTCCCGAACCTTGTGCCTCTTCTGGTCCTTCAGTGCTTCCACAATGATGTTGTAGGTGGTCCCTCTGGTGAGACCCGTCAGGGTAGCACTAGCAGAAGTTCCAGGAACTCGGAACTACCATTATTAGCACATCCAAAGTAGGGGAGAAAGCATTAGAGAGAGGAATCCATGACTTTCCCTATGCTCTTATCAATAACCCTCACTGTGTAAACAAAACAAAGGGACACCAATAAAGCAGAGGGGGTAAAAGGACCCAAACAGCCAAGGAGAGAAATAGAACTTGGGGTGAATAGCCAACACTTCTACCTGCCAGATTTTCCTGCCAAAAATCTACCCCATGTGCTCCAGTTACCTGGGGACCTCAATAATTCTAGAGACAGTCTCCGTTCCAGCTGCTGCAGCCGCAGGTCTGCACGAGCCCGGGAAACCCTGGCCTTGCCCCCTTTACATAGAAGGTGAGCACTGTAGGGAGATTTAGTCATCCTACAGGAGGTGGCACCCGACCCCCGCTAGAATCCTTAAGACACTTTGGAAAATCCTCCAACTCAAGTGTCTAAGCTCATACATCTGCCACCGCTGTAGTCAGTTTTTAAAACTCTGCCACTTTCTAAAACTAAGAACACAATAAAATTGATACCAGCAAGACAAATTAAAGAACAGAAGTTTTAGTTAGAGAATCAATCACTTACAACAGCTGATATGCACAGCTTCACCTAAGTTCTTTCTCCTCAGACCTATTGTAGATAATGGGATTCTTCAAGGACAAACCATAGGATGGTATTTCAACCCTTATGGGCACAAATTTAAATTCAGGCAGAATATTTCTCTTTTTTCTAGGATTATTTCTTTGTATTACCAAGGAGCCTCAAATCAGTGAGGAAAATAGAGAGGATTTCATTCTTTCTGCTAAATAATAACGAATGACACTCCCCCTAACCCCTACCCAAAGTAGTACCACATTGAAATTAAAAAGAAAAAAAAATCAGGGCTAATTGAGTCACCTAAGAGGTCCTGAAAATGTTAGCCCCTTGATATGGGAGTTTTGCTCACTTCTGTTGTCTAGCTTGCTCCTTTCCCAGCTTCCCAGTCAGGAGTAAAGATAAAAATTCATTAAATACCTGTAAGGGTTCTTCATCAATGCCAACTGGATGACATGAAATTATATACTCAGAGCTTTCCTGGAATGGGGTCCAAGAGATGGTTGTCTGAGAGAGAGCCTCTTGTCCTGTAGAAGCATTTGGTTTGAGTCCCAGAACGTGAGGGTAGAGGTGATGGTCTACGTCTCCCCTGGGGACATGACCAATTTGGATCTCCTCATTTACATTCGGCGGATACGGTCTTGGCCTATGCCTTACAGGGGTGGCCGTTGTGGGCGGTGTGGTCCGCCTAAAACCATGCTCCTCAAAGATCATTTGTTGCCCAACACTGGGCTGCTGACCCGAAGTGCCAGGAAGCTGAATACCGTTTTCAGACCCAGGATTGGTGATGAAAGGGGTCTTTTGAGCTGTGGAGGGAACATCCAAGATCTCTGGTCCATGAAGATTGGGGTGTGGAAGGGTTACCAGTTGGGGAAGCTCATCTAGCCAAGAGAGGTTAGAGCCAAAAAAGCAACGCTTGTTAATAAGCTCCCCGAAGTACCAGCAGTAGTCATTATCAACTCAGGCAACAATGACTGTTTATTGATTTGATCAAAGCCCCTGGAAAATTAGCAGTTCTTAGATCACAAAACACTTTTTCCAGAAAGAAATCTTAATTCCCCTATACTAGTCCACCACTTAACCCTGCAAATGATGGCGTAGGTTACAGGGGTGGGGAACATCTGGCCCGTGGGCCGTGTAAGGCCTGTGGGCCGTGTAAGGCCCGTGGAATCATTTGGTCTGGCCCTGACAAGGCAATAGGGGTGAGTTAATGAAATGTTTGACCAAATATAACAGGCCAGTTTATTAAGTTGATAATTTTGTATGGCCCTCAAATGATGTTATATATGGCCCTTGGCAGAAAAAACGTTCCCCACCCCTGCTTTAGAGTTTAAAATGGAAAAAAGTGTTAGTATGAATTTTTATCATACAAAGCTTCAGACCGCTGAGCCCCATAGAAGCTGCCTCTGCTCAAATTAAGCCTAATGGGATTGAAATGTGCAGCCTTTCCCCACTTTTGTTTTTTCACTTGAGAATTGCGTTTAAGGACTAGAATCCACACTAATTATATCAGCATTTGAATTATGAGAATTACAGAGGTTTGGGTC